CCTTGATTTGATGAAGAACACCTTCGATTTGACGAACTCCTTCGATTTGATGAAGAACGCCTTGAATTTGATGAAGAACGACTTGAATATTGTAGAGAGAATTTTCTCCTATGATTTTTCTTCTTCTTGAGTTGTGCTTTGAATTGTGTAGGGAGGGTCCCTATTTATAGTGGTAGAATAAGAGTCCTACACAAAGTCTTCTTGATGACGTGGCGCGATTTGATTGGCTCTCTTTAAATTGATATTTATCTCTTATAACTTGGAAGAGAAGAAACAATCCTATTGGTCGATAATTAATTGGTAATTATCTCCATGACTTATTTTGCAAGATAAATTATAATCTTGGGATTCAATTTAATATTATATAAATTATATTAAATTTACGTGTCTACATGTAGAAAGTAACATTTGTTTCCCGAAAACGGCATTTTCCACACTTGCAATCGCATATCGTAAACAAGTAATATATTGGACTGCGTAGAGTTGTGATGTGTGAAACTAAATAAGTAATAAAATGGACTCTTGAGAGTCGGGGTGTTGAAGCCACATGGAGCAAATATCGTTTTCTACTTCTAAATACCTAAACCATCGCAAATTATTTTTATCGAAGCATGGAAATAGGGATATAAAAAATATTAACAATCTAAGAATAACAAATAAATGATAATTAAATTCAAAAAACAAAAGCCAAGGTTTATCACATCTTCCCCTTTGTGTTCTTGTAAGAAATGAATACTTGATTTAGCAAGCCAATGAATTATTTAATAGCCCAAAATGTTGATTTAATTATAACCAATTGTAGTAATTCATTACTATCATTACTATCCTAGCATCCATAATCAATTCACGATATGTCTATGAACTACGTCTTTAATTTGTTATTTTTCCTTATTTTGCATGCTTTGTAACCGGTTGGTATAAGAAACCTACTCGTGATCTGATCCTTTAACAACTTTTCAATACACGAAATCTCGGTTTTTTCTCCCGTCTTCTTCCTCAAAATATTCTGCAACTTTTGCTTAGCTTCAATAAGAATTTTTTTTTTTTAAATTTGAGCATCAAATAGTGGTTGAGACATTTGATACTTAATTTTGATGCTCCGTTGCAATTGGTCGCCTTTTGTACTAGCGGAAATCGGATTGCCTTATCAAAATTTGGAAACGAATTATTTCAGTTAATATTCACAAGTTGTGTTGGAGTGATCTTATAGTATTAGCATACAATTGAAGCCTAATAAAATTGTTTAATTCTATACTTTGTGGAGTCCCGCAAGGGATGATCTAGTGGCTGGAGCAAGTGAATTTGTATTAATTGATCCAAGTACAAAGCCCCTTGTCAATGGTCGCTAGGTGAAGTTTGTCGCACATTGTTAGTCCAAGTGTGATTTACGTCTCTCGTATGGTTTGCAAGCTACTATACGATAGTACAGATTTATCGAGTGCATCTATATGATTTGTTGCGAATTCAGTCACTAAATAAATATTTAAATTGTGGCAACTAAAACAAGGACTCATTAATATAAATACTGGTTTGCCGGCTAATATGTTAATTGACAATCGAGAAATAGTGTTATAGTACACAAAAATGTCGGCTTCGACGATAAACATAGTGTTCAAGTTGCTAAGTCACGAGATGCTATGTTCAAGTAAAACAAAGTTCACAGCAGATCTCTCGTGGATTATTCCTTTCATTTTTTTATTTATTGTTTTGTTTTTAGACACAATAATCGATGATCAGAAATATTATCTCTATTATTCTTATTTTTTGTTTGTATAGAATATATATATGTTTCCGATAAACTACTAATTAAATAACTCTTTCGAATTAAATAAAAAAAATATAATCAACATGACTAATCTGTATTTGTAGTCTGTAAAGTTCAAAAGTTATAAATTATTGGGAAAATTAAAAGAAAACCCCTGAGATAAGGTTTTATTACGAAAATCCCTCATGTTTGAGTAATTATAAAAACCTTCTTAAGGTATGTTGTTGTCTTACAAAGTCCACATATGTTGTTACTTTAAAAAAAATATCCGAGTTTTCTTCTCTCTAAAAAAAATATCCCCAATATTTCTTCTCTACTAGGATAATTTTGATCATTAAAAAGTAACATAAAGAAAATGTCACGTCTGTAAGAGTAGAATCGGTATTTTTTTTCCGAAAACATTTCCTGGAATCTAAAAAAAATCATGAAAACTAACACCATATATGGATTGGTGTACGGCGTAAACAAACGTCAGGGAGATTTTGATAATTACGAATAGGTGAGGATGTTTTTCGTAATTCAACCTAAGTTCGGGAGGTTTTTTTTAATTTACCCTTTGCATATTGACTTTTTTTCCTACCACACTATTGTTTATCCTCTTACTAAATATCCACCATCATCATCACTCGCAGGAACTTGTTTCTAAAATTGTAATTCTCCAATTGACATTTGTATGAATAGATATCAAATACATCGCAAATTTATATGTATGTATTGAGGTAAATAGCACTTAACCCTCGTGGTTATAACCTTTTGCAGATGGTTTTTATGTGCTTGTAATATCAGTACATAACTCCCTTGTGGTTTATGGAGGTAGCTTCCATTAGTTTTTTCGTCAAATCTAACCGCGTACGTCAAACTTCAACGGGGTCATCTGCAAAAAATAAAAGAAAAAATTAAAGCACATAAGGGGATCATCTGCCAAAAGAAATCTTTGACGTTTGACATTGACAGTCAAGCTTGACGGAAAAACTAATGGACACTATCCTATCAACCACGAAGAGGTTATGTGCTGATACTAAAAGCATAAGTACCGACCATCTGCAAAAGTTTTTAAACACATAGGGCTAAGTACCTATTTATCCATGCATATGTATTAAAGTATATGTATAATTGTATGAATATTAACAAATATATTAGTTAACTATTCTATGTTGTCACCTAGACTCCTAGAGCTATGCCCACATCCCAACATCATAGAATTATTGGTGACGTAATGAGGAATAACTAGTGAAGGTCCCGCTTGAATAACAAATTTAATTATTATTAAATTTAATTAACAGCTAAGTTCAATATTATTATTATTATTATTATTATTATTATTATTATTATTATTATTATTATTATTATTATTATTATTATTATTATTATTATTATTATTATTATTATTATTATTATTATTATTATTGTTGTTGTTGTTGTTTTTGGTATCTTTCTAATTTTATTATAGGACTAGCAAGTCAGAAATTGAAGATAATGAAAGATGAGCTCGCGTCTTATCGACTCATGGAGTAGAAGTGAAGCCTATGCGTGGTAGGTGGCGAGCTGGCCAAAAAAAGCAGATTGAAGATAAAACCCAAAAGATAGATACGATCGAGGCGCCAATCTATTGATAAATCATAGTAAATAATGTACGAATATAGAACCGTCAAGAAAGGAAAGGATCGTTGTAAAAGATTGTATATAAACAAATGTACTACGCCCTTTCAAGGGTTACGTCTTTTCAAGAATACAACTTTGTTTGTCGTACTTTTCGTCCGTTTAACTCATCGTCGTTGGCCATATTACCAACGTTAATTGAGCTTTAAGGACCTAAGGTTGATAATAAATATTAGCATGGAGGTTTGGTTTACAATACAGTACATATGTATACGGCCACCACCATCACCAAACCACTACACAGTGGAGAAGTCAGGATTTCATCCCTCGGAGGACTGAATATACATTAAAAATATTGTAAATAAATTAATGACCATTTTCGGGGGTGGGGGGCAGCATCCCTGAAAAAAAAATTAGAATTTTTTCTGACAAAACATAGAAGATAAGAAAAGAGAAACTTAGGATTTTTTTTGCATTAATTTGAATTTTAGGTGGATTAAATAATAAAAATGGGGTGGATTTAATAAGTATATGTAGGTAAATAGTGGAAATGTTTTCGATTGAAGGTCGACTTGAGTCCATCCTTACCTGAGGATGGACTCGTCTTTGGTTCCAAGTTACAATCCGTAACTTCCTTATCTTAAACTTCTTTATCTTATGTGTTAGACTTATTTAATATTGTTTTCCAATTCAAAATATGTAAATTTACTTTTTGTATAAAACTAATTTGTTAAACATTAGGAGAGACAATAAATTTTATATACATACATAATAATAAAAAATTAAAAAAAAAATTAAAATTTGAGGGGGTGGGTGGCCACCCCTGGTCCTACACTGGCTTTCCCACTGCAACTACACGCTGCCACCGTTGCTGCCTCCACCACCACCGCCATCACCACACCATCACCATCACTACCACCCACCCACCACCACCACCGTGATCGTCAACCCATTGATTTTTTCCTCCACCACCGTTTTATTTTTTTTAAAAAATTGTTGATTTTTTTTCCAGTGTCGTTTTATTTTTTATTTTTAAATATGAAATTATTTTTTCGTCGTTGACTGTCTCTCAACGGCGTTGACTTTTTTTGTAAGTTTTTTTTTTCCTATCAATAAAGTAAAAGTACTATCTAAAACAGTAATATCACGACATTACTGTCTAACACATAAATATTGATATACCTAAAAAAAAATACTAAGAACACCAAAACTGCCATAAATCTAATAAAAATAATCACAGAACAGGCAAGAATCAATGTGCAAAAGTAATGAAATATAGTTCAAATCATCTCATCACGAATACCGAACGGATGCTAGTTGATTTTAAGTGTGGCATGGGCGGGCTTTATATACTTGTACCCGGTACATGTACAATAAGTCGATAACGAAATGGAGGAGACTATATAGGCACACAAGTGTGACGAACTGATTCGACAAATACAAGGACGAATGTTAGTGTCGAAAAAATTAAGCTACATTTCTTTCCTTCTTTTAGGTGTTTTTACTATTTTTTGTCGAATGGCTTAGCCCCCCACTTAAATGTCTAACGATCCGCCCCTAGAAAAACGTATAGCTAGAGTTCACCTGGACGAGCTCAAACTTAATTGCACCTCTGATATTATTTATATTACGAATTATTATAATATAAAATAAAGTATTAATTGACAAAAAAAAATGTCAATAAAGGTAAACTTACACGAGCTAAAAGTTTCATGATATCTTGTCCGAAAAGTTTATAAAGTGTCTCTACTCTTTCTTTTTTATCACAACAACTGCAATTTCACGAGCCCAAAAAAAAAAAAAACCAAAAAAAAAAATGGCGACACTCCCCAAAACAAAACAAGGGGCGGAAACCCTCCCAGATGCGTGGGACTACAAGGGCCGAGCCGCCGTCAGATCCTCCTCCGGCGGCTGGGCTAGCGCCGCCATGATTCTCGGAGTCGAGACCTGCGAGAGGCTAACTACTCTCGGGATAGCCGTTAATCTTCTCACGTACTTAACCGCCACCATGCATTTGGGCAATGCCACGTCAGCAAACACCGTAACCAACTTTCTCGGCACTTCCTTCATGCTCTGTTTGCTCGGCGGCTTCATCGCCGATACCTACTTAGGAAGGTATATAAACAATAAAATACATACATATATATGTGTATGTATATATTAAGCGAATTTGATGTTTATGATTTTACAGGTACTTGACAATCGGGATCTTCGCCGCTGTTCAAGCAATGGTATATAAGAGTTCATCTTACTTAATATGTTTTCGTAAGAATTACTATTTATTATTTTATTTGTATTTTTCTTGATTCAGGGAGTGGCGCTCTTGACTGTATCAACAATAATCCCGGGTCTCCGGCCGCCGAAGTGCGCCGCCGGCGGGGAGTCATGTATTCCGGCGACCGGAAAACAGCTCATGGTACTCTACGCAGCGCTTTACATAACGGCGCTCGGGACCGGGGGGCTGAAATCCAGCGTGTCCGGGTTCGGTTCGGACCAGTTCGACGAGTCGGAGAAGGAGGAGAAGAAGCAGATGATCGCGTTCTTCAACTGGTTCTTCTTCTTCATCAGCATCGGAGCGCTTTTGGCGGTGACTGTACTTGTGTACATACAGGATCATCTCGGCAGGGATTGGGGTTACGGGATCTGCGCCTGCGCTATTCTTGTGGGGTTGTTGATTTTCCTGTCGGGGACTAAACGGTACCGTTTCAAGAAGCTTGTCGGCAGCCCGCTGACGCAGATCGCCTCCGTTGTGGTGGCGGCGTGGAGGAAGAGGAGTCTTGAGCCGCCGTCGGATTCTTCGCTTCTGTTTGACGTTGACGATGTTGTCCTCGCCGGCGCCGGTGGTGGTGGTGGGGAGGAAGGACAGGTCAGCAAGAAGAAGAAGCAAAAGTTGCCGCACAGCAAGGAGTTCCGGTGAGTAATATATTTTCCTTTTCTAATTATTGTGTTTTACTATTTTTAGATCTTTCAATAAAAATAATATTACTTTTTTTTATTTTAATTTTTAATTATTATTTTTAGTATAAAAATAATATATCTTTTTTTGTCAATTTTATTTTCTCAAAACATAACATCTTTTCTAAATAAAATAAAAAATACACCCAAAATCGGGGGAAACTTTATACTACACCTGCTGATTGTTAATCGTAGATTTACGTATATCACACACACACACACTCATATGTATGTGTGCTTAGTGGGTTGTTATTTGCGGTTAACCGATACCTGGTATAACCCGGTGTAGCATATTACTCCTCGGGCCAAACATATAATAATATAAAAAATTGTTTTATAGTTTTTTGGTTAAAAAATAGTGGTGATGAATGTTGAGCAGAATTTCCCTTATATGATGATAATAACAAATTTAGGACAAAGAAAATATGCATTACGAAGGTGACAATAATGGTGGGATTGGTTTGGAATTTAGTGATATAAATCCCCAATCTGCCAAATTAAATGAAATGATTTGAATCAAATTAAATGATAATAGTATAATAGATGAGTGGCAAAAAAATAAAGTGGGACCCACCTTGGGTTTTGCAAGCTGGACAATTATTTCAGTTTTGCTGTTCATTGCATCACCAAACATGTATCTAATGCAGCTCATATGATTGGTTCCTAGAATGTGTTATTACATTAATTATTTTTTATATATATATAAAAAAAAAAATATATATATATATATATATATATATATATATATATATATATATATTCTTTGGATAATTGACCAAGACATGAAGATATGAATCTATTTTGGCAGTGGGGCCCACTAACAGCTGATTTATTTCATTTTCAAGAAATATAGTAGAAGTTAAATCATTATGTTCTTTTTAGATTCAAGTGTGACATAAACAACAAAAAACTTTGAAATGAATTCATCTTTTTGTCTGTATTTCTCAGTGTCAGAATTCCATAGTTGGAATCTCTTTAGATGCATGCATGTGTTGTAATATCAACAAACATTATTTCCGTTCTCAAATTAATATTCGTGAAAGATCTGTTGCCGATCATATTTTTTTCCTAGATACGCGAGTCTTTAAATACGATTAATTTTTTTTTTAAATTATGTGTTTAATTTCTACTTTGTATGTTGAAGTTTTCTTGACAGGGCAGCAATTAAGGATCCCAAAGTAGCCATCACAACATTATCCAACAAATGGCAACTCTCAACCTTAACCGATGTCGAAGAAGTCAAATTAGTGATCCGAATGCTCCCGACGTGGGCAACGACGATAATGTTCTGGACGGTCTACGCCCAAATGACGACATTCTCCGTCTCGCAAGCCACCACCATGGACCGCCACATCACCGCCTCCTTCCAAATCCCGGCCGCCTCCCTCACCGTCTTCTTCGTCGCCACAATCCTACTAACAGTGGCGTTCTACGACCGTTTACTTGTCCCGTTATTCCGGAAGGTTCTCAAGAATCCACAGGGGCTCACCCCACTCCAGAGGATAGGGGTGGGCCTCGTCCTGTCTATTTTGGCCATGGTGGCGGCCGCATTGACCGAAGTCAAACGGTTAGGTGTGGCCAGGTCATACGGCCTGACGACGTCCAGCGGCACTGCAGCAGCTGTAGTGCCGCTGAGCGTCTTCTGGCTGGTCCCACAGTTCTTTCTAGTGGGGTCCGGCGAGGCTTTCACGTATATCGGCCAACTCGATTTCTTCCTTAGGGAATGCCCTAAGGGAATGAAGACGATGAGCACGGGGTTGTTTCTGAGTACACTGTCGTTAGGGTTTTTCGTGAGCTCGATTTTGGTGAGTATAGTGCACAAAGTGACCAGACAAAAGAAGCCATGGTTGGCGGATAATCTTAATCAAGGGAAGCTTTATAATTTCTATTGGCTATTGGCAATCTTGAGCACTTTGAATTTGGTTGTGTTTTTGGCTATTGCCAAAGGGTATGTGTACAAGGAGAAGAGGCTTGCCGAGGAGGGGATTGATCTGGAAGAAGAAGAACTTGCTTGCCATTAGTAATTCTAATTATTTGTCATAAATTGATTTTCATAATCAATAATTATAGGTTTTAATTATATATAATATAAGTAATTTCATGTATAAAAATTAAATGTGGAGAGAGAGTCATTTGACATGGAAAAATAAGTGGTCTCATGTTTTTCTTTTGTTCTTACCTTTTCGGTCTTGTCATTTTCGGTGTAATATAATATGATATAAGATAGCTATGGTGATAAAAGAAAGTATGGGAAATAAGAAGTTGCCATGTCTTGATCAATTGACTATACAATTGAGAACTGCAATTTGATGTATACAAGTCATTGTCATTAATATACAAAACTTCACATGATAACATTTATTGCAAATATTTTTTAACGTCGAGCTCGTCGAACATGGTCGTACAATACAGTTTATACAAGTTCTGTCTCAAATTTAAATTATAAGAAATTTCATAGTATAAGAAAGACTATTAAAACCTACAGTCCATCATGGATTAACTCTTTAGCAACCTTTTAACTCGTAATCAAGGCAAGGATGGTTTGTTGTCAATTTAGAAAGAGTCGATGTACTTAGTGTTACTGCATAATAGATTCATTTTTTCGGTAAATATGAGTTAACTCCATTTTAAAAAGGGTAAATTATGGTCATTCTCTTGAGGTAAGGTCAAATTACGAAAAAACCACTCGTATTTGGGTAATTACAACAACCCTTGAACTATGAATCTTCTTACATAACCATCCTTATTGCGTCAAATTCAACAAAATCTTCTAGATTGCGTTCTAGTTTGTACACATTTTGAGCAAAAATACTGTTTCTGATGCACCACAATCTGATATTTACAAGTCAAGAAACACATCATATGATCATCTTGTTTCAAAATGTGGAGCTCGAATGGGGTAAAACGGGTACAAACTGGAGAATATTCCACATAATCTAGCAGATTCCACTAAATTTGACACCACAAAGATGGACATGTAAAAAAATTCATAGTTGAGGAGGGTGGTTGTATTACCCAAACATAAGGGATTTTTTCGTAATTTAACATTACCTCAGGGACGGCCGTAATTTATTTACCCTTTAAAAAAACAGAAAATTTTCGTTTATTAAAGTAAGTGGTGATGGAAACTCAGTTCATGAAAACTTTGAATCCTCTTTTGTAGCCACACACATGTGTTTTCCAGAAGATGTTCTTTTAAGACAACAACTCCAATAAACTTTTGCCCTCGTGATTATTGTTGGTCATGTTTCAATTTTGTCCACGACTTACTTAATTTCCTTCTTTTTCGTGACTATAAGAAAATAACATTTCACTTTTTGTTTATCATTTGAATGTAATTGTTGCTCTTTAGCTTTGCACAAGAATTAATGATTTCATTAACCGTGTCTTGAGTTTAGCAACATATATGTTTTTAGATTAAAATAACATTGTCCTGTAATTAATAAGAGAGATAACTGAGTTAAAAAAAAAAGTGTTGAAAAAAGTAAATAAGCATATAAACTGGAAATTAAGTTATTAATGCAGTATTGAAAATTTAAAGCAACAGATAATATGAAACAAGTTTTGTTTTCGAAAGTGACAAATATTGTGAAACAAAGAGGAAAATATATATTTTTATGTAGACTCCCGAAGGACCGTTGTCCTTTTTATCTTCTTGTCTCCGATATTGTACTAGAGCATCTCCATAGACAAATGCTGAGATATTGAAATCTTAATATTTATATTATACCTAATGTTTATTTAGTTTATATATTTGATAGAATTTACAAATGTATAATTTGTTAGCTTGAATTTGACAGCAATTGTCCACGTGGGGAGGCCCAGTTATGGACGGCCCATAATTGAATGCCGTCGGAGCTTGTGTGTGTTGAATGCACGTACTATAAGGCTAAGATTTGTGCATTTCCGTCCTGCAAGAGATGGCCTATCGGTTGGAGTAAGTGAGCCTTTGTCAATTGACCCAAGTGCAAATCCCATTGACAACGGTCGCTATATGGAGCTTGTCACACATGGTTAGTCTAGTGTAGCATTTTCATATTTGATTCAACTCGTGGGCTAAAATATAGTTTTACCTTGGAGATGAAATTCAGATCTATAAATGATCAACATCTAAAAGAAAGCTTCTATAAGTGAGAATAACTAATAGAATGTTGCAGTTAGATGCTACACAATTTATTTATTTATTATATTTTTTTTCTATTTTTTTTGTTAGCTATAGATGCTACACTACTATCTCCAAATTAATGTCGTCGTCCATTGATGATTGATGTAAACCTGGAACGAATAAAAACGAAGATGGTGTGGTTTGGGCATCAATTCGACTAATATGACTATGCTCGAAACGTGACACGCTCTTGACAAAAGCAATCTGCAAATAGGTAGAGACATCTCCTACAAAACAAAAGGGGAAAGCGAAAGATAAAGCTTTACTTCACCACGATTTGATGCCAATTTCGTGGAAATTTTGCAACCGTATATTTTTCTTTACTTTAATTTTATAGTTCATAATCATCAGGTGATCTCAGTTAGACATTTCCACAGATCGAAACTAATCATTTTTTTGTACGTCGTGGTTACGAGCCGGTTCGAACTTGACGGGTCATGTAATTGGTGGTTCTAGGTGCGGTTCAACCTTTGAATTTGAAGAAAACATTTATTTAAATTTTATTTGTCATAGTTTTAACTTCAAATTTAAATTTGTAACGTATAATACAACTTAAATTGCCTGCATATTGAGATATAAAGAA